GGGGAACATCCGCTGCATAGTCTACCTGTTCTGAGAACAAATGAAAATATGTGTGCTTCCATCGTTTGACCAGCTTCTTTTGTCGCAAAGCCGCGTGAGACAGCCTTCCCACACTCTCACTGGGGCAGCACCGCACTTCTTATGATAAGGTTTCAGAAAGACAGCCAATCTGGGCTGCATGAATTCACTGATCGAATTGTGTTTTTGTCTTCCTGGCAGATTTTTATCACCCCTCCATTTAAAATTGTTTTCCAACCACAATAACGGAGTGTCATTCGGCCTACTCCCGCAAACTGTAAAACCTCGCACAATTTTCTTCAACCATCCCGGAAAAAGATAGTTGTGGTGGGCTTCAAAGATAAACACTTCAAATCAGTAGTAATAGCCTGAATTGAAGCTGCGACCGATAAACGGAAATGAAATTCACGTGAAGCGCTTCCTCTGCAAATCGTTTTCGAGGCACAAAAAGGTGCAGTGACCTTTGCAAGTAATTTGAAGTTGATGGATACGCTTTTCTTCACGCCGTGTCCTCGCGCCAATTTGTGTTGACGAGCACCTTGAAGCGAACCTTTATTAACACCCGGTGCTTCGCTCACAAATTACTGTTCCAAGATAATGCCTTTCCCCAGATGATGCCGGATTTGTGGGCTTTACGACCAGACCGTTCAATGTTATCAACGAGGTACAATTTCCTCATACCGGCTTTTATGACACAAGTTCGGGACTGTGAAGCCGAAACAAGATGAGGCCACAACGATTTGATTAGTTTACGCGTTTCTCGTATTTCTTACAGCAACATGTCCACTGAGAAGGGAAATGAGTTATTGATGTCCATGAAGTGAGAGCTCGGGCTTTGAAGTAAGAATATATACAAAGCGGCATAGCTATAGTGTGGAATGATAGCTAACGTTCCTGGAATGATAGCTAACGTAGGTAAAAAAAAGATGAGGTATGATAAAAGATGTCAATATAAGATAAGCTTTAGTTTGTCACAAGATCTTTCCCGCCGGCTAAGAACACGTAACAAAGCGATAATGGGGAATGCAGATAGCGCAT